AATGCATCTATCAAATAGTGATGGAAACAGCAATTATAAATATAGTCTGACGGCAATGATAGTGTTCCCTTACTAATGCGGCCATCAATATAGCACCAACGCGGTAATTGGCTCCAAAAATTTAGTTACATTTTTAATAAACTCAAGTTTTGCAATGACACAATGTTTTCCCCATCTCAAAAAACATTATCAGCTGATCACCGTGAGCATGTAACTCCGGAAATACCAGTCAACAAATCCGAACTGAAGTACGCAATTAAATTCCGTTATCATACAATCTGATTACAAAAAGGTACTGATTGTTTATCTGGACTTATCTTTGTAATATATTTTATTATTTGTATTAAAAATGTCATTCAATATTGTATACATTAATTTCGTGAAATCGAGTGTGAAGTGATGGTTAGATTGCACAACTCACGGTTATTTACAGCAACCATGGTCAGATTACTGCTGTTGATGCCTTGAAATGAACCTTAGTTCGCGAGAATGGATACATACATCATATATTAAAAACATGGCTGCTCTATTAGTCATGAAACGTGACACTGAGATAAATACTTAACAACAGACGCCATGTACATTCAAATTATCATCAATGTACATTCACACACATTTCCAAATCTCAAGGCTATAATCCAACATCCCAAAGACCTTTCAGCAAACAGGTAAATCAATGGCCTGGTTGGTCATGCTTAATCAAGCTTGTATTGCACATGAGTGTTACAACTTTCTAATTGACTCTGCATGTATATTAAAGCCTGCTTCAAAGAGCATGACCTACATCTGCCTCCTTACTGACTAAACACAAACCAACAGGTGTCACCAATGCATTATACACTGCAAACACGGGACAATGGTAAACTCTGACCGATTTAATACACACTGCAAGGCCCTTTAGTTTATAATCTCATAATGTCGTAAACATAGTATGTCATAAACACTCATGTAATATCCTCATTGTTTGTTTTGTTTGTTGTTTAACACCACACTCAGCTATATGACGGCAGTCTGTAAATAATTGAGTCAGACAATCCAGTGATGGACATCGTGAGCATCGATCCATGCAATTGGTTTCGATGACATGCATCAAGCACGCCTGATCCCCCGATCACGTTAGTTGTTGCTTACGACAAACATAGTCACCTTTAACGACAATCATGTGTAATCCACAGGCAACATATGCCCAACCATGACCCAAAGCGTCATGTAGTTGTGTAACCAACATGTAACATGGCCCCACCATGACACAAAGTGTCATGTAGTTGTGTAACCCACATGTAACATGTGGCCCACCATGACACAAAGCGTCATGTAGTTGTGTAAACCACATGTAACATATGCCCCACCTTGACACAAAGTGTCATGTAGTTGTGTAACCCATATGTAACATGGCCCCAGCATGACACAAAGTGTCATGTAGTTGTGTAACACACATGTAACATGGCCCTAGCATGACACAAAGTGTCATGTAGTTGTGTAAACCACATGTAACATATGCCCCACCATGACACAAAGTGTCATGTAGTTGTGTAAACCACATGTAACATATGCCCCAGCATGACACAAAATGTCATGTAGTTGTGTAAACCACATGTAACATGGCCCCACCATGACACAAAGTGTCATGTAGTTGTGTAAACCACATGTAACATATGCCCCACCATGACACAAAGCGTCATGTAGTTGTGTAACCCACATGTAACATGTGCCCACCATGACACAAAATGTCATGTAGTTGTGTAACCCACATGTAACATATGCCTCACCATGACACAAAATGTCATGTATTTGTGTAACCCACATGTAACATATGCCCCACCATGACACAAAGTGTCATGTAGTTGTGTAACCCACATGTAACATATGCCCCACCATGACACAAAGTGTCATGTAGTTGTGTAAACCACATGTAACATATGCCCCACCATGACACAAAGTGTCATGTAGTTGTGTAAACTACATGTAACATATGCCCCACCATGACACAAAGTGTCATGTAGTTGTGTAACCCACATGTAACTTATGCCCCACCATGACACAAAGTGTCATGTAGTTGTGTAACCCACATGTAACTTATGCCCCACCATGACACAAAATGTCATGTAGTTGTGTAAACCACATATAACATGTGACCCACCATGACACAAAGTGTCATGAAGTTGTGTAACCAACATGTAACATGTGCCCCACCACGACATGAAGTGTCATGTAGGTGTGTAACGGTTTGTAACCTACATATAACATGTGGCCCACCACGACATAAAATGTTATGTAGTTGTGTAACCCACATGCAACATGTGCCCCACCACGACATGAAGTGTCATGTAGGTGTGTAACGGTTTGTAACCTACATATAACATGTGGCCCACCACGACATAAAATGTTATGTAGTTGTGTAACCCACATGCAACATGTGCCCCACCACGACATGAAGTGTCATGTAGGTGTGTAACGGTTTGTAACCTACATATAACATGTGGCCCACCACGACATAAAATGTTATGTAGTTGTGTAACCCACATGTAACATGTGCCCAACCACGACATGAAGTGTCATGTAGGTGTGTAACGGTTTGTAACCTACATATAACATGTGGCCCACCACGACATAAAATGTTATGTAGTTGTGTAACCCACATGCAACATGTGCCCCACCACGACATGAAGTGTCATGTAGGTGTGTAACGGTTTGTAACCTTCATATAACATGTGGCCCACCACGACATAAAATGTTATGTAGTTGTGTAACCCACATGCAACATGTGCCCCACCACGACATGAAGTGTCATTTAGTTGACACAACATATAAAATGTGGCCCACCACAACATAAAATGTCATGTAGTTTTGTAACCCACATGCAACACATGCCACATTCCAACAATGCGAGTATGATAAGCCGCACGAACAATGCAAGGCTTTACGAGGCTCAGCGAGCTTGTATGTAGAATGAGGCAGTCAATGAGGCATGAGTTATGCTGCATTCGTGATGTTGTTACAGCCATTTGCACCTCATGCTGTGTGTAATCGTGCAGAAATATCTGGTGATATTAACAAGCAATGGTGGTCCTGTGTCAAACAACGCTCAGCTTCATCAACTGCTGGATCCAAACCTATGTTCATTCAGTAGGAGGGGCGGTCGGGTAGCCTAGTGGTTAAAGCGTTCGCTCGTCAACACCGAAGACCTGGGTTTGATTCCCAACATGGGTACAATGTGTGAAGCCCATTTCTGGTGTCCCCCGCCTTTAGGATATAATGACATTAAACCCTAACCTGTCTGCTACGTCCTAAATTCAACAGAACTGAAGAGAACTTTTTGACGTTTCGGGCTGTGAATAACGTCATATGAGTGAGTGAGTTGGGTTTAACACCGCTTTTAACAGTATTCCACTTATATCGCAGCGACTTAGCTTAATGTGGGAGGAAAGCCCAAAGTGATGCAGGTCTCAGACGTTTACCACTTCGGTGAAACCCACGAGCATGGGTATATATAGTGCTGACAAACCTAGAAACATAATCGGGGCGAACCGGAATTCTAACCCACAATCATAGGATTCTGGCATGCGCAAGGGACGCAACTCTGCACAGTGAATCACGGCGCCTTAGACAACTGGGCCACCCGTGCCCCCTCGTCATATGAAGAACACCATGCTTGAAAAAGTTGAAAGAGCATGACGGAATATATATTTATATTGGTTGAGTTTAACAGAGTTTAGGTTCAACAGAGGACAGAAAAGTTTCCATTTTAACTGAACAGAAAACACAAAGCATTTAAAATGCTGGCTTTTCCACTATAAAACAGAATACATCAGGGATTCGAACCAACACTCCCAGAGTGAGGCAAAGTCCGCGATCTAACCCACTCAGCCACTGACGATTCCACAAAATGAAATTCTGATAACTGCATTTGACCACTTTCTAAATGGCACTGGGATTCATAACATACTCTGTATTCAAAATTAAGGGGGTCCGAATAAGCTTCAGGTTTTCTATGTGTTTCAATCAAACAGGTAGGTCAGCAAATCCCCGGCCACTAAATAGACCTCAATTCAATCAAATGTATCTTAAAAACAATACAAACAACAAAATCCTTTCTGTGATCATAAGAAAACTCCATTGTACGATTCTGACTACATCCTAAGCATGTGTTTATGGATCACTATGAAATAGTGATGATACCCAGTGTTCGCGAAAAGGCAATCGTGTCCTGTCCCCTAGCTGGCAACATCTAACATTTGCAGCAAATAAATGGACCAACTAAACAGTAATCAGTTATTAAAGAGGATGATTTGTTATTACAAAGCCACAAACATACACAGGCATGTGGCTGACTGACCACGACTAATAACAGGTCACCTACATTCGTGACCAACTCGTGTTATTCCGGGACAAGCCGAATAGCAACTCGTGCCCCTCTCATGGCCATTTTTGCGACCGGGTTCCGTCTTAGCACAAACGGGCATACCTAAAATAATTGTCAAGTCGTCGGGTTATGGTTCACATATATTTCCCCATACGGTATATTATATATATTTCAGATGCAATTTAAAGCTCATCTGGACATGCGGAATTATACAGTATGGTGGAACACATTTAACTGTGTCTTGGGTATATTTTTAGATGCAAGACATATGTAAAATCAAAAAATATTTCTGAGGGATTCTTTGATGAAGAACTTGAAATCATACGCGCATTCTGATTGGATTGTGGTATTTTCACACATAACATTCATCGAAAGGGGGACAAGTCTTCTTGCAGGTTACGGAAAGGGGCAATAGGTGACGAATGAGGTCAGCTATTCCCTGGGCACCATGTTAAAACAATGAACAAACAAATTGTAATCAGTTATCTCAAAAGGGAGCAGGTGGGGGTAGATATAACATCATACGCAGTGAGCAATTTTCTACCAAGCAAGATTGAGTGAGTGAGTTTAAATTTAACCTCGCATTAGCATTATAGTGATGGGAACTTCCCCAAGCAAGAACTGTGTAAAGACCCACCATAGCTTTTCACTCCTCTCCTTGAAGTTTCTGCTTTATCCTGGGAGGCTTTGACTGGGCTGGTTGACCGGCTGTATTCCTGTGAGGTACGGCAGTCCATGTCACGTATCCCACTCGGGTCCCGCATTGGGTACAGGCTGTCATGACCCTCCACGTAATCTTTGGGAGATATTGAAGAATCATATTCAGCTCTGGAGAATGGACGTCTAGGAATTTGTTTGTACATGGCATTGCCATGGTGATGGGGCACTCGGGAAACCTGCCCAGCTTCCTGTTGCCCATAGTAATGGGCAACCTGAGAATCATGAACTTCTGCTCTCACCGAAAACTGGTTGCCTGCTCCATGCATATGTGTATAGGAATTCAGATAGTTGCTATCACCATTCATCTGACCCCCAATCAGTTTACTCCCCCTAGGGAGGCTGCCCCGCCTCCCCTGGGGCAGCTGGCTGTACCCCCCACCACGGTTCACAAGTACAAGTTGCCCCCGGCCCTCATCAATACTTCCATCATCAGAAAGAAAATCTACGGAACTCCGTCTTCGTTGTGTTCTCCTATCCATTTTGGCAGAACAGTTCCCCTCCTGCCCCGTTTCCTCCTGACCTGATTCTTTCTGACCTGAGTCTGGCTGACCTTCTCCTCCTCCACCTTCTGCTTGGCCCCCTGTCACACTAACCCCTTCTCCCTCAGTGTCATGTTCTGCACCCTCCTCGGCTTCTCCTGGTGTTTCTCCTTGCCCACTTTGTGTCAAAGACTCGTGAGGCAAGCACCTGCTAGCGTGCGAGTCCCACTCATTGTTGCTTGCCGATTGTGCATGGTCTTGTGTCACACACAGCTGTTGCGGCCTGTGTGATAAATCATCCAGTGAATTGCCTGCCACAGTTTTTTCCTCTGATGTTAATTCACTTGAACTTGAGGCACCTACTGAAGAGTTTTCTTGAATATTCAACATAGAGTTCCTGGGACTCTCTACGGGTAAAAAAAATATACCATTTATCTTTTCTCTGGAACTTTTCACGTCTTCATATTCGTACCGTTTTTCCTCTGATGCTAATTCACTTGAACTTGAGGCACCTACTGAAGAGTTTTCCTGAATATTCAACATAGAGTTCCTGGGACTCTCTATGGGTAAAAAAAATATACCATTTATCTTTTCTCTGGAACTTTTCACATCTTCATATTCATACCTGTCTGTGGATGTAATAGCATTCCCACTGCACGTGCGGCGCCGTCGCCTGGGTTTCGGACTAGCTATGACATGATCAGGTTCTGCATAGGCAGCATCTGTGCCTCTTTCAGACACAATATTTAGGACCCTTTGTCTTTGATCACTGTTGCCACATTGATCTGGCTCATTGAGCTGGTCGACGACACGAGAAAATCCATCACTTTCTGTGCTAGTAGGTTGGCATGTTTCCCCTACAATGATGTCAGGCACTTGAGCTGGCTGTCCTTGTGAATTTTCGTGTACGTCAGTTTCATCATGATTATTCAAGGCTAGTTGTTGTCTATCTGTCATGCCACCACACACCCCTAGCTTAATACTTAGGTCACTTTTGCTGGTGAATCCATCAGTTTCTTTTGAATCACGACACTGACCTGGTTTGCAATGCACTTCATTTGTATTAGGAAATCCTTCAATTTCTCCAGAATTATCAAGAAATTCATTTACTTCTCTCGGACATTTTCTCTCCCCATCCCAATGACCTGGCTTCTCATTCAAGTGACTTTTACAAGTAGAATCTTGTTGATGGGCTGCAATAACCCTATCAGACACACAGCCTGGTTGCCCTTGTGTAACTTCAGGTCCATCAAGCTCCTTACATTTCTTCCCATCCCTGTAGTGCTCTCCGTGGTCAGTTGGACATCTGTTCCTGTCATTCTGGGAAAAGTAATCTTCGCGTAATTCCTGGGATCCTGGAGTAACAACCATGGCCCTTGAATTCACTGACACATGTTTGTCCTCGCAGTGATCTGATGGACTGGGCACCTGATCTGCAGGATCAGGGTTCGGCTCAGATTGCAATTGTTCAGGTCCGCCAGAATATCCATCTTCAGTCTGACATGGCACATCACGCCTTTCATTATCTTGCTGAAGAAGGACAACTGACTGCGGTCTGTTTTCAGGCAAAGAATTACTGTTCGACTGAGCTGAACATCCAGACTGTTTATGCGCTCTGATATGTCCACTGCGTGTAGTATGCGACCTGTCATTTGCGTGAGTTACCAGCTGAGGTTGATGAACTGACTGCTCTTGATCGCGAGATCGTATGACAGGATCATTTTTCTCTCTCGTATTCCCAAGAGGCACACTAGCCTGGTTCACTGCATCAGCTGGTCCATGGGATGGGCTATGATGCTGATTAACCTGAGGCTTTTGAGTTTGTTCTCGAGTCATGGTTGGTGGAGAGTACTGACTAGAATAGTGTGGTTCATCGGCCTTCTCATCATCTGGCCTATCAATTCCTACAGTGTTCCCTTGGAATGGAGGCTGTTTACATCCTCTTCTATTTCGTTCTGGTTTTGAATCAACAGAGTGCATGCCTTCGTCAACAGAATGCATGCCTACGTCAACAGATTGCATGCCTTCGTCAACAGAATGCATGCCTACGTCAACAGAGTGCATGCCTTCGTCAACAGATTGCATGCCTACGTCAACAGAATGCATGCCTTCGTCAACAGATTGCATGCCTTCGTCAACAGATTGCATGCCTTCGTCAACAGATTGCATGCCTTCGTCAACAGATTGCATGCCTGCATTAACAGATTCCATGCCTACGTCAACAGAGTGCATGCCTTCGTCAACAGATTGCATGCCATGGTCAACACAGTGCATGCTTGCATCAACAGAGTGCATGCTTGCATCAACAGAATGAATGTCTACATCAACAAAATGTTGTCTGTGCCTCATATGGTCACTAGGAACAGAGTCTACAGCTCCAATGCTTATGTAGCTATTTCTGCTGCACTCATAACTTTCTGTTTCTATTCCTACAGAAGGTTCCTCATAGCTCCCTACACTGTCCATTCCATTATGACTGTAATCTCTCCTTGGGTCCTCAACAGTCCTGTGATACTGTACAGTCTGTTGTGAAGCACTTGGGACATTCTGTTGTGAAGCACTTGAAACATTCTGTTGTGAAGCACTTGGAACATTCTGTTGTGAAGCACTTGGAACATTCTGTTGTGAAGCACTTGGGACATTCTGTTGTAAAGCACTTGGAACATTCTGTTGTGGTGCACTTGGAACATTCTGTTGTGAGGCACTTGGAACATTCTGTGGTGAAGCACTTGGAACATTCTGTTGTGAAGCACTTGGAACATTCTGTTGTGAAGCACTTGGAACATTCTGTTGTGAAGCACTTGGAACATTCTGACTTTCACTTCTCGAATGATCACCAGCTTTATTGTCATTATCTACATAGGGACAAGGGACAATCATATTTGCATTTTTCCTTGAAACTCTGGGACTTGATTCAGAGCAATGCTTATTTGTTTGTTTCTCCAGCTCTGCTAATTCATCATTCCTGCCACACTGACTTTCTCCCAGCATGTCCTCCAGGTCTCCATCATGCGAATGAGACTCTCCATCACTGCCTCCGTAACACTGTGTGTCAAGGTTATGTGGGTGTCTGTAATAGTTGTCCAAATGCCCCACATTGTCTAGGTGTTCAGTGGCCAGCTGTCTGTCCCCTTTCCTCACATCAATAGGACTCCCAGACAAGGAACTAATCCCTGAGTCTAAATGTTGATGATGGCGATAGAAACTTGGGTCAGCATTGCTTCTGTTGTCATTCTCTTCAGCGAGTGCGTGGACACTTATTCCGGAGAATTGCCTACCCTTGGGTGTGGGTGGTTCCACTGGAACAAAAGCTCTCCTTGCTGAATCCTTACTCACAGACACGTTGTGTTGAACTGGATAGAAAGAAGTACAAGGCCCTGATGAGTGTCGATTCCTTGGATGGTTTTGGTCATTCGATGAGAAGGAAATGCTTGATCCAGAAGAGTGCCTTTTCTTTGTCAGATTTCTCCCCACGGGAATGAAGGCACTACCAGGTGCTGATATGTGTCTATCTTGGCTGCTGTGTTGGAGTTCCATTATATTCAAAGGCTGCTCAATTAATTCATGTCTGTATCTGTGTCTGTATCTGTTCATATCAAGGGGGTTATTAGGCACAACACTTGCACATGTTTCATCATGGGGATTATACAGAACATGTTTTTCACCGGATGAGCATGCTTCTGACATATTGCTGTCTATCGTCACACTGTGGCTAGCAGACTGAATACAGGAGTATTCTTTGTCTGAAGTCATGTCTTTGTCTGAAGTCATGTCATGGTTCTGTGGTACTCCATCATCACACATTTTCACATATTGATAGGCTCCAGAAGTTACAGTGACGCCAGAGGGATGAAGTTGTCCATGATTCCCAGGATCTCTCAAGCAGCCCAGTCTTTCCGAGACATCATAACCGCCACCAGATTTGTCTCTATGCCTCAAAGAGTTTTCCCTTTCTTCAATTCTGTTAACGTTTTCAGCAAGAGATTCATTGAAACATCTCACATCCATTGGGCTGCCACATCCTGAACCGATGTCTGAGTCTTCATACAAATGTTGGCGATCAGATCCTGGACTGTTAATGTTTCTCAACAACTGTTCATCATCTCTTGTCAAAGCACTAGAACCAGGTATTTGTGAGGATCTACAGGCCACATCATCCTTACGCAATCTCTCACAACTATGATGAACCTGTTCCCCATGACCTTCCATCACTGAACTGACAGCTGATTCTTCATACAGATGCTGGCAATCAGAATCTGGACCACTGATGTTTCTTGTCAAGAGCTTGTCGTCTCTTGTTGGAGTACAAGCAAATGAAGCAGGTTTTCTTCTGTCACCAGTACTATTTGAATGTTGCTCCTGTTCCTCATCCCTCACTGAGCTGATGCCTATGTGTTCAGATGGGTGGTGGGGGTCCTGGAGACAAATAGTCTTGGGTCTCTGTTGACCATTGCCTCCCGCCATGGAATCTTCAAGCTTGGGAACGTTTTCATCAGAATATTTCATGGGTCTTGCTTGAGGTGCCTGCTGGCCAAGTTGTTTGTCATGTGACTTATCTTGTTTCTCGGTACCTCCTGTCTGAGGTGTGTCAAGATGCTGGGGTGGGTCAGACAGTGACATCTCTTGTTTCTCGGTACCTCCTGTCTGAGGTGTGTCAAGATGCTGGGGTGGGTCAGACAGTGACATCTCTTGTTTCTCGGTACCTCCTGTCTGAGGTGTGTCAAGATGCTGGGGTGGGTCAGACAGTGACATCTCTTGTTTCTCGGTACCTCGTGTCAGAGGTGTGTCAAGATGCTGGGGTTGGTCCGATGGTGACATCTCTTGTTTCTCGGTACCTCCTGTTTGTGGTCTGTCAAGATGCTGGGGTGGGTCAGACAGTGACATCTCTTGTTTCTCGGTACCTCCTGTTTGTGGTCTGTCAAGATGCTGGGGTGGGTCAGACAGTGACATCTCTTGTTTCTCGGTACCTCCTGTCTGTGGTGGGTCAAGATGCTGGGGTTGGTCATACAATGGTGAACAGGTATTGAAGCCCTCTAGGTCATCAGGACATTGAATGCTCTCCCTATCACCATCCTCATATGACAGCTCTCCATGTTCGTGGGAGTCATGGGACTGAGAAAGGTGACTGTCAACTACGTCATCCCTCCGATCACTTTCAATATTTGCAAGACGGTTAGGTTCAGCAGTGAGCGGGTGTATATTTTCTGTCTGTGTTTCAGCATGACATAAAACAGGAGTTCTGTGAGCAGGTGTCCTCTGTGCAAGGTTTGTACCTGGATATGCTTCATATGCTTCTGGCTGATCTGGGCTTTTGTCAATTTGGGTTGGATGACAATTACATTCAGTATCTCCATGGTTACCTACTTTAATTTCCTCCGGAGATGTTAGTGGCGTAAGTGATGACAGATCAGACAGCTGACTGTCCACAGTCATGTCACTAGAATCTGTCACACCTGAATCTCCTGTATCAGGCTGTCCATTGCACGACAACGGATCAACACTAAGTCTGTCTTCCTCCTTCAAACTACTCTCGTCCACTTCTACTGATGCAATCCTATGAGGATCTCCCATCATAACTGACACCTGTCCAGCAGCCTCAAGTCTCTCTCCCTTCATACTCTTCACATCCACTTCCCCTGAAGCGGTCCTATCAACATCTCCAAAGCAACCTGATAGCTGTTCAACATCTTCAAGTCTCTCTCCTTTCGTACACGTCACATCCACTTCGCCTGAAGCAGTCCTATCAACATCTCCAACGACACCTGATAGTTGTTCAACATCTTCAAGTCTCTCTCCTTTTGTACACCTCACATCCACTTCCCCTGAAGCATTCCTATCAACATCTCCAACGACACCTGATAGCTGTTCAACATCTTCAAGTCTCTCTCCTTTTGTACACCTCACATCCACTTCCCCTGAAGCAGTCCTATCAACATCTCCAACGACACCTGATAGCTGTTCAACATCTTCAAGTCTCTCTCCTTTCATACACCTCACA